AGCCATTGAATCGCGCTTGCCTTGGCGGCGTCTGCAGCAGCCTCCGCGGCCTTTGCGCGGGCTTTGGCAATGCGCTCGAACACCTCCAGAGGCTGTCATAGACTTATGCGTGCAATTGACGTATACATATGCAATCACATGCATAAATACCTGCATCGCTCAAAGGTACGAATGCATGTTGCAAGAACAGATTCAGTTGTTACTTGGTCATTCAATATGCTTCGCGCGTGTGAATCAGCCCCTTACAAAAGCACGTGTTTGAAGAGAAAATCAGATCCTGTAATTTGCAGCAATACACCTGAATTCTGAATGGGTGTTGTTTCATTTAACTCGTCGCATTTGTGCATGTGCGCTCACAGAGACACACATCACACCGGGGCACACAAACTTGTGCGTAGCTCATGAATGCTTCACGTCAGGATTCTGCGTGAAGATGCTTCTGGGGTCTATGTCCACTTTGCAAGTACTTTTGCTGTGGCACATTTGGATCCACGCTAGCTCGCAGTCCCAAGGGAGACAGGTTTCATGTCAGCTTTGAGACAGACCATAGACTATGAGCCTTTCAACATCCATCGTGCTCGTTGCTCAGCATTCCCCTCTTGCAAACGTTGGAGATTGAAGATGCAGCACAGCCCTCAAATCCTCAAATCAAGCCTTAAACACTAAACCATAAAACAAATGTCGGGCGCAAGCATGTTCACCAAACCCAATCTCCAATCCATGGGGGCAGCCTGGTACAAGCATCCTCCGACGATTCCAATCGGAACTCCAACTCGGCACAGAATAGAGCAGTTGATTCTGGCCCCTTTCGGCCGTATCATAAATACCAGGGAACCGGCCTTGTTCAGGTAGAATGCTGCCGTAGGGATCGTGTTTCTTTCCACATTGGGGATTCTCAATCCAAGATATCAGCTAGCATGAGCACCCAAGCACCACTCGAAATGCAGCGAACGCAGAACCCGAGCAACTCCTGTTCCACAAAGCACAAAACCAGGCCATTTCACTCCGGGGATGCAAGGTCGAAGGTCTAAGCACCCCACGCACGAAGATGGTAGACAGCCTTAGACATTGAAGCTGCGAGCATCGCCGAGATTGCAAGAAATAGAGGCTCAGGCGCGCGATCAACAAGTCTAGGCTGTGGCTAAGCCCCTGTGCAGCTTCGCCACCCTCAACACACGGCCCCAAACGATTCCAGGAACAAAACAAAGAAACAGCCAAAAACCCTCAAACCCTCCACCGAAACCCCCCCCCCCCCCCCCCCCCCCAAAAAAAAACAGAACCCCAAGAAACTCCTGGGTGCACGGCCCCAGCTGCAGCGGGCCAGCCTTGAGGCCGGTGCCGTGCGTGTTCTCGGCGAGGCCCAGCCTTCTTGGTCTTGAGGGTTTAGGGTTTAGGGTTTTAGTGGGGGGGGAGGGGCCTGTTGATGTTAATAATCTAAATTCAATAAACGGTAATACAACGCCTGCTACGGATGCTTATACAAATGTATGCCGTCCGCCTTGAGCTTGAAGAGTTTTTTTGTGCACAAGCCCGAAATCAAAGCCCCTTGGAGTGGCACATTGGCCGGGACAAAGGCAAAAACAACGTCAAGAGAATTTAGCGGGTTTCTGCGTCTTGGGTCTCGGGTCAGCATAAAGTTTTTGGGGACTTGAGAGCGCCAAACTATGTTCTTTGCTAATAATATATCGATCCCTCGCCTCAAAGCTTCACAGAGAGAGAGAGGAGATCGCCATCCACATCTAAGACGCTGTCCTGTGAAGTCTAAGATCTGTGAGCTCGAAGCAACTGATCTAAGCCGTCTACGCTACAACTGCCTTTTTGGGCCCGTAGCTCCCTGTGACTCCCTGTAGCCCACGATTTCCCCGCATCGCACTGAAAAAGTTGCGCAACAAGTGAGAGGAAAAGCTCCCGCGTGCAGTGATCGCAGCATCCCGAGGCTTCCACTTTGGGCAGGTCGTCTCTTCGATGATGGCGCCTCATCTGAAGCTCCATCGCTGTGTTCACTGTGCATCTACATGTTAGTGCCTGCAAGGGCCAATGAGAGCACAGTTGCAGCTGCAGCCATGAAATCTCCGGCCTCCATCTGGATCATTGACGCCACCATCAAAACGCCTAACAAGGGAAGGCATTGTTTCGCTTGGCTGGTCTCAGACCTCTCTTGCTTCCCTGAAAGCCTTCTGGCTGCAGCCCAAAGGTCGAAGAGTATCCTCATCCACTTTACGCTTTACCCCTTCACGCCCACACAGCCCGCAAAGCAGTGGAGGCCCCTGCCGCTTGTGACCGAAGTCGCCGAAGGAGCTGTGCACTCGTCCTGTTTGCGCTTCGGTCTGCCCCCACGCATGCAAAACCCATCAAAACCCTAAAAACACAGCCCTAAGCTCCCTAAAACCCCTAGACCCTTGCGGAATGGTGCGGCTTAACCACCCCTCTGAGGAGTACTCAAGATATTGACTGGATGCTTGCAGGGCCCGTATGGATCACTGCTGTAAGAGAGAGGGGTGGCCCTGATCCGAGTCAGGCAAGGTGGGTAAAGTAGGATCTGTCCAGCAGTTCACTCGCAAACAATGTAACTGCAGGCTTTGGTGATCTTGTGCGTTGAGAGCCTCAAGTAGGAAACGACAAACTTTGCCAACTCCAAAACAGAGTGGTGCATGCACCACTTCAGTCATGACTCCAATATTCGCAAGCATCCACAAGCCATTCTGCCATCTTTCCTGGCTCGACGAAGTTGGCGGCTCGTGCTTCTGCCCCCGGCATGGCCAGAAACTCTGCGCACGCCACGCGAGACCTGCATTGAGGCGACAGCAAGAATCCGAAGCTGAGGTAGTGCTTAAGGTCCATGGTCGTCAACCCGAATCCTTATCTCAGCGTGATATGCAACTCAAGGTAGAGATGCCATGCCGCAGCTCCTGCGATGATGTGCCTAAACACCCCCGAAAGGACGCAAAAGCCCCCAAATGCCCAGCCACCGTGAACCTTGCATGCCCAAATGATGGCACGAGCTGCACGAGCTCAAGGTGGCAGCTCGCCTCGGGGCCTTGCGCTGAAAGGACGAGAGGCTCGGGAGGACAAGGATTGCAGCATGTTAAGGGTGGTTTGGGGCTGGGGGGGTTTAGGGCAGGGCCTGTCGGGTCTAGTGAGGACGTGGCCCAGTCACCAACATACCTAAGGAACGTCAATGTTGTGGCTGTCTCGAGCTGAGAAAAAACAACGACTCGTCCTTGCTGTGTGGCTTCTCTCGAGTCCTCTCGACTCCAACTCAGAATGAAACATCTTGTGAAAAACTGCTGCTGTCGTACCGCTAGGCAGCTGGCTCTGCCACACGCGAGAGCCGTATTTCATGCCTGCTTGTCAGCACCATGCATGAGCCCTGATGCTTTTAAGCTGCAACCTGCATTGTGTGTGTGTGTCCCGGCTTGCTCAACTCCTGGTCTTCGAGATTTCGCTTTGTGTCAGGGGATGCATCGACGTTGTTTTTACCTTACTTACTAATTCTCTCACACTTTCTTACATGGTCCTCTTAGGCTGATTAGGCTGTGAGCAGAAATCAACGAGCCAGCGTAGCAAGCACACAAGTGTATGGCAGCACTGCATCAATTCTCTAACTTCATATCATGTTCCAGCATGCTCCAGCACCTGTTGCAGACACAGTGCCTGCAAACTTGAGGGTATGTGAAGAACGAAAGAGGTTCCCAGGCGGGGTGGAGTGCAGGTACTGTTTACTGGGTGGGGAACCGAGTCTCGCAGTGGACGCGACGGACCTGACAGCTAACCCTAAGCAGCTCTTGCACACAAACGTGTAGCAGGTTAAGTGGCAGCGGTGAGCATTGCGCTCGAAAATTGCTCTGGGTGGTCAAATTCCTTCTGTATCAGTCATTGACAGAAGTATTCTGCTCGCATCCGCTCGCTTTCCAGATGCGGAGCCGATTCAATCTATTCACAGTTTCACAGGCGCCGTTTAAAACTTCATGAACGCACTCTCGAGCCATGCGGATTCGGAGGCAGCACCAGTCGACATGCAAACTCAAGTGACTGACTACATAACACAACGTCCATCAGAGGTTGGGGTTTTTTGGCGGATTCAGGCAGTCAACGGGTCCTTCCTCCTACATGCAGTGGAAGAGATCCCAAGCCTTAAAGTGAGCGCGTCAGAGTGATCAGCCTCTCGCTTGTCCGGGAAACGCCGCCGAAACAATACAGGCCACCACCTGTAGGAACGGACGGTCCGCAGTTCGGTACTCAAGAAGTTCAGTGTGAACGTGATAAAATCATGCTTCTGTACCTCCCAAACACAACACTTCTAGACTCTGGACGGCCAGGGTGACCTCAAAGAGCACAGGTAGGATTCTACACGCTTTCCACAGCCTCGTCACAGTCCCTGTCATAGTGCCCACAAGTGTCTCTAGAACCCATACTCCAGTCACCTACCCAAAGCCGTTCTCTCGTTAACCCGATGGAGAACCTTTCCAGAGAAGTACAATGTGAAGGGGCTCTAGCATTCCAAAGGAGAAGTCACCCTCATCATCGGGCTGTCTGGTAAGGTCCGTGCGACAACGGCCGTCAGGGCAACGGGCGCGGGCAAGCGCGAAAACATGAGAACCCACCTGACGCTGACTGCGGGCTCGGGACATGAGGTTCGGGCGTGGAGAAAGCGATTACAGGTTTCGGCAGAGAAAAAGGCCTGAGGAGCTGTTTAGGGTTTCAGCCGGTGGGGCTTCTTCTGGGCCCCCCGCCGCCGTGCCGGAGAGTTCGCCAGCAAGCGGAGGTGTTCCAACGAGGCGCTGAGCCCTGGCGAGCACTTCTGGTCTGGGACCAAAGCAACAAAGGGGGCGCCAAGACGATCTCCACAGCGCAGCTCCACATCTACCACAGCTTCGGCCATTCTTTCCGATTCACACAAAGGCGAAAGAAACCAGCAACCTTCTGCCTCGAGTAGTATACTCGTGAGATGTGGCAGGTTCTCTACAGGTCTTTTGGGGCCACCTAGCTTGATCATCAGCAATTTCCCAAAAAAGATTATCGTTTTGATTCTGCTTCCACAACTCGTGCGAAGGAGCCTCAAGCTCAGCTTAAGCTCTGCGGCCTCTCCCAAACCGCCCGTGACAGTTCAGCGACATGGCCGACATGGCCTCGCTTCACCACCTGCAGGCGCGCCGCCGCCGTCTCCGCCGCCAGCACGTCCGCGCGGAGCTCCGGCGCCACGCCGAGAGGTGGCAGGGGGTTCAGCAGGGCTGCCTTGCACAGGTTGGATGCGACATGTCTACCGCGAACATCAGTGAAGCTCATTCTTGTTGCAGTGGTGTTCGGCCAAGGTTCTGCCCAAAGCGCCATGGCTCCTACAAGCGCAGGGTGAGCGCAGGGGGCAGCGCATGAGGATATTTTCCCTTCCGCAGACCCGCAGATGCCACGCGACAATGGGCTCCTGGTTGCGTGCAGGGCGGCCGCGGACCGAGCTGCCGGAGAATTCCATCCAGGTGATGTGGCCGCTCAGCGCGCACGAAGCCCTGCAGTGGGATATATCGGTTAGAGTTTGGAGATGAAACCTTTGAAAGGCTCGATGAAGGCTCTGGATTGGGTAGCTTAATTTTTGAAACCCAAAAGTTAAATTCAGGGCTTTTTGGGCCTCAGAGTTTACATGGAAGGCTCCGAGATTGTACATGCGCCCTTGAGGCTGCCGGATCAAAAAAAAATAAAAAAAGGATCAAAAAAAAAATACGCAGCCCAGGATCAAAAAATAAATAAATAAGGATCAAAAAGAAAATAAACTTCGAATGTTCGAGTACTAAAACTCGATTTTTGGTACGTTTTCGGAACCCGATCGAGGACCCTCTCACACGAAACGCGTGTCGAGGCGCTAAACCTCGAGTTTTGGAAAGGTTTTCCGGGCACGATTGACGACCCTCCCTCTCACACGAAACGCATCTCGAGGCGCCAAAACTCGAGTTTTGGGACGTTTTCGGAGCACGATCGACAACCCCCTCACACGAAACGCATCTCGAGGCGCTTAAGCTCGAGTTTTGGTATGTTGCTCGCGACGCGATCGACCAATATATTATGCATCTCTATATTTATTATTTATTTATATTCATGTTAATCTTCAACATATCATGTACGATATAATACAATATATTATATTATCAAGGAATATATAATATAATATTTTTAAAAAATATTTAAACATATGATATAAGATACATTATGAATAATATAATACAATAACATAGAATACACTATAATGTAATATAATTTAAGATAAGAGTTTATGATATAATATCATATAATATAAACTATTTCTTTTATAATACATAACATATAATATATAATATTTAATATTTAATGTCTAATGTCTATATATTATCTAACATATATATATACTGTATATAATAAGATATATATATATATAGATAAATATAATACATGATACTTAATATCTAAGACCGAATTTTAAAATATATAATACATAATAATGGTCGTATATAATAAATAACAACCAAATATAGTATACAATATATAATATATCAGTAGTAGTAGTAGTAGTAGTAATAATAATAATAGTTGTTGCTGTAGTAGTAGTAGTAGTAGTAGTAGTAGTAGTAGTAGTAGTAGTAGTAGTAGTAGTAGTAGTAGTAGTAGTAGTAATAGTAGTAGTAGTAGTAGTAGTAGTAGTAGTAGTAGGAGCAGCAGCAGCAGCAGTAGTCGTAATCGTAGTCGCAGGAGAAGTAGTAGTAGCAGTAGTAGTAGTAGTAGTAGTAGTAGTAGTAGTAGTAGTAGTAGTAGTTGTAGTAGTAGTAGTAGAAGACCCCCAGTTGCAAACACAATGCTCGCATCATGGGTCTCGAAAAGACGTATGCTTTGAAGCAAGCTTGCGCGATTTGAAAAGCGGGGTCTGGGGGGGGCGCAGCCCCCCCCCCCCAACACGCAAACACAATGCTCGCGTCATTAGTTTCGAAAAAAAACGCTTATTTTTCGAAGCAAGCTTGCGCGACATAAAAAGCGGGGGGGTTGGGGGGGGCGCAGCCCCCCCCATTTGCAAACACAATCCTCGCATCATGGCTTTCGACACACGCGTATGCGTTGAAGGAAGCGGTTGCGACTTAAAAAAGAAGCCAAGAAGCCAAGAAGCCAAAAAGCTAAAAGCCGAGGAGAGCCAGGAAGCCAAGAAGCCAAGAAGGCAACAAGCCAAGAAGCCGGGAAGCCAAGAGTTCCACTCGGAAAACGTGCCAAAACTCAGGGTTTTAGCGCCTCGAGATGCGTGTCGTGTCGTGCTCTGAGAACGTACCAAAACTCGAGTTTTTGCGCCTCGAGACGCGTTTCGTGTGAGAGGGTCGTCGATCGCGGCCTTATTTTTTTTTAATCCTTTTTTATTTTCTTTTTGATCCTTTGTTATTTTCTTTTTGATCCTTTTTTATTTTTTTTTTGATCCCTATCCCCGCCCTTGACTGGTACGGATTGTGCACTCCGACCGACGGCCTGCCACTCCTCAAGATCTGGGAGAAGAGCTTCGGCTGTCTGCACCTCGGCTTTGGGCCTGAAGGGAACACCTCACCTTACCTCCATTTCGGACTCTCATGGCTTTGAGCGTTCAAGCGGCCAACACGCTGCTCGCGTGGTGTTCTCGCTCGCCGTCCGTCTTCTGAAGGGTCAGATCTCTGTCTCAAAAAACTTCGACAGGAAGCACTGAGCCCTATACCATTTACGAGGTTGGCCCTCTAAACGCTCTCAATGTAAAAACTACATAAAACGTAACATGATGAATTCGTTGAGTGTGCAAATAAGCATACATATATAAATGTATATATATATATGTATAACGGGCCCTTCTTATTTGCTAAATCCTAAACGAGCAGGATTTAGGATTAGAAGAAAATCTAGGGAACAAGATTTAGATAAAGGTTGCGACTTAGGCACCCCGCTCTTTAGGATTGAGCCTGCAGGATCAGGCAAGACGGCTCCGTTTTAAGGAGTATGATTTACGGAATTATTAACGGAATAAGATTAGGGAACAAAATTTTGGGATCCCATTCTTTAAGGTGTAGCAAAAAGGATTTCGGAATGGGATTTGCTGTTTAGGATTGGGAGCTCTCCAAATTCGGACTTCAGTAACCCCCCTCTTTAAGGCTTCGGGAATAGGATTTAGGGTTTGAAGAAAAGGGATTTCGCCGTCTAGGATTTAGCAACCACAACGACGACGACCACCACCACCACTACAACCACCACCACCACTACACCTACAAATGACTACCAGTGCAATGCACCAACCTCCGCAGAAAGAGCTTTCGGCAAGCGAGGCGCCTCCTCCGAGTCGGGTGCCTTCTCCAGGCACGGGAAGCGCACAGTGGCCAGGAGGTAGCCGCTTTCGTGGAGACTGGCCTTGGGGGCAGTGGTGTGGACCATAGGGGCTGGGACTTGCACAAGGGGCTAAAGGCTCAAGGTACGGTGCAAGACCTTGCTAGCCGCTAGCCCTTACAGCCACTCAGCAAACCATCCCGGACATCCCCGGACCTACCAGGCAGATTCTCTACAGAACACAGGAGAAGAAGTGACCAATCGATACATTGCAGGTTTGCTGGCAAGTGATGCATCAAGCAGGCTTCAAAGACAATACCCTCAAGTTCAATTGGAAGTGCCATGCACCCTCATGTGGCCTCCATAATCTTGAAGGCGCGAGTTGCCACAATTTGCAGCTGGAATCTGCCATCGGCAGTCTGCTCACAAGCCTTGCGTGGTTTCTGGAAGCAGGAGGCTGTTCGATTGCTGAACTCTGGCTTCAGAAGACAGCACACGGCGCTATCAGCTTCAACTACCCATCAATCTTTCCTTCACTCTCTCGCTACTAACATCAACAATGTGAACGTAAACCCTGTGTCGAAACATTCGGTCCTCTATGACGGCTTCGACGCCGTGCTTGAGGTGACTGCCGTTACCATCGAATCCTGTTGGCTGCAACGCCAAAAAACTTGCTTCAGCTCAGACAAGCTCAACGCTCCGATCGTGCAGGCCGGGCTCACGTTTCAAGTCGAATCTGATTGTCGGAAAGCCCAAATCATCCTAATTCCAAGGCTGAACCCTTGCTCTGGACACTCAGCACACGCAGTCCGACCAAACCAAAGCGCCGACCACTTTGCAGCGCGACGCGCACAAGCGCACGATATCTGGCCAAGCACAGCGGCAGCAGATTTTACACGGGGTGCAGGCTCTCAGGGCATGGGGGCTTCGAGCCTGGAGCCAGCAAGCCAATTGCAAACTGCGCCGATGCCGAAGCCTCTATGCACACTAGAAGGCACGCTAGACACCCAAGACCTGATCCATGAAAGCCTCGAGACCCCCCAAAAAGCAAACAAATGCAACCATGATGGTGATGACGACGAAGGCGTTCTGCGATGATTATACCATCATGCAAAACAGATAAAGTAGACTACATATACCAAAAAATGTGTGTAGATACAATATATGGGTTTTGGTCAAAAGGTCCTTGTAAGGAATTTGATATAAAACCTACATTTCAAGGATGTATAAGTGTGCGCGAAAGATCCGCGAAGAGGGTCTGCGAAAGGAAACTCTTTTTTGGCGAAAGCTTCGATGTAAGGCGCCTGTTTGCTATGCATCTGCGGCATAAGGCTAGCTCTCGTATGCCCAGCTGGCTCAAAGCCTCCGTCGGACCACACTACGCGCAGCGAGGGTTTAAGGTTAATTTTTAGTGCTTAGGGTTTGAGGATTCAGGATTTAGGAAATCCGTTTCCGAAAGTCTAAAATTTGCGAAAGACTGGCGCAAGCTGCGCGAAAGTCCCGTGAAAGCCTAGCGTATCCCATGAAGGGTCCAGCCCACGTGGCATTTGCTTGCGTACCTTTAGTACATAGGCGCCATGGATGTGATGATAGGTCTTGATAGGTCTTGGGGTTCAGGAGTGCGCGCGATTGGGCGCCCTAAAGTTCCGCGAAAGGAAATTTGATTTTGGCGAAAGATACGATTCCGGGACACAGCAATATTGATCAACTGCCACATATATATATATATATGCATGTATATGTATATATATATATATATTGATTGTATATGCATATGCAAGCGTGTATCATGATACATATATACATATATACCTATGCACATATATGCATATGAAGAGGCCCCGAGCCTTGGCTCAAAGACATTCAGGTGTAGCCGCTGAAGGGGGAGGATAGATTCCAGCACGAACAGCGGAAGCTCCTGAAAGACTGAGGGAGCTGGGTTGCAGCTTGTGGGTTCTGTGGGTTTTGTGGGTCCTGACTTTGGGAACTTTGGGGCTTCGGGATACCTGCAGCAAGGGCCTGCAACAACCCCAGCCGACTGCATGAATTCCTTGCGTCGACAATTGCAGCACATTGTCGAGAAAAGATTGCGTTTGTCGTGTGAAGATGCACCTCTCCTCTTTCTTTCTTTCTTTCTAGGGGCTTGGGGTCTGCGCCCCGGGCATCTTTGCCCGCCCCTGTTTCGGGGTGGAGTGGTCGGTGTCCGGTGCCCGGGTGTACTCTGCCAACTGTTCCCCCCCTTTTTAAACCCGTAGCCCCCCTTGTAATCCCGTAGCCCCCCTTTATCCAGTGAGGTGGTGTTGGCTGCTGGTACCCCGGTGCCCGGTTTGACGTGAAACTGGTGATCAATGACCCCCTTGTGTCGAACCATAGCCCCCCAATCCGAACCTGAACCTGAACAAGCAAGCATCCCCCCCAACACTTAGCCCCGGGGTTCTTCTTTGACCACTCTCTCTCTCTCGTTAGAGTTAGAGCAGATAAATCAAGTGAGGCCATCCGCTCAGTTTCCACCACGCAAGCTCGATATGTCCGACCCCCTTGCCTGGAAGAATACTGGACTTTGAATTTGGCAAGAGACGACTTCTCTTGCCCAACCCAGTCCTCTTGGCTGTCGGGGGGCGAGCCCTCTGATTCAGGCTCTGCCACAGCCTGCATTGTTGCACAGGCTTTTCCCTCGCATTGCCTGACAGTCTTTTCCTGGTAGCATTACAGGCAGGATAGGGCGGCATTTCGAGAAATGTGTATGCTCGCACCAGGCTGTCAAGTTAAATCCTACAATTTATGTAATCCGAGTTGAGACCTACTCAACTATATTCCACCTGTCAAGTGCCAAGATTCATAAGGGTACAAATGTAAAGTAACTGATAGAATTCAAATTAGGAGATTGCAAGCCCCTGCGTATTGCAAACTTATTGGATGCCCTGAATATCGTACATTTTACATTCGATTCATGTTCCGAAGTGAGTTGGTGGCAACCCAAACCTGGAAGGTACTGTCCCATAGAAGCCCGAGCTTAAGACGTATCAAGCGCGAGTACATCCATGCTCCGAATCTTCTATAAGCCAGTTGCCGCTCATTTCACATGAATCCAAACCAAATCTACTAAAAACAATAAGAGACCAGCAATTGCTCGACAATCAACAGCAATGAAGTTAAGGCCTGGATTCTGTTATCATTTGTCTTAGTGCGAATTCTGGAAATTTCAAATGTCCGGAGGTTGCTAGAGTTCTTGATATAAGTTTTTGGATGCCAATCTGCAAAAAAAACTTCCTCAGTTCAGTCCCAAACCATACAAGCCCTACTAATGAAAAAAACCGTCAAGCGTTACCACATCCAAACTTTTCTATGAACCAAACCAAGTACATGCCAATTTACAATTTAGATGCGACACGTTCCGAAATTTAAAGTTGGCCGAAGTTAGTCCTCAAAGTGGGCCAATTTTTTTTTGACAATGTCACTTCCTGATCGCGGATTGCAAATTCCTAGGGTGTCAAAAACTACACGTACAGCCACACTGAAGCCTACTAATACTAAACGCCATTTGGAGACCACCATTTGCTGAAAAACCCCAAGTTCAAGCTGAATCTCCAATCTTAAAGTGCAAGTCCCAGATTGCATTATGACTCTGCCACTCTTCGTTATGCATGTGTTCGTAAAAGACTAGCCAATGTGCACTGGGATGCCGCCATGTCCTGTAAGGATACCAACATTTAGAACGAGAAGGGCTTCAGTCGGAAGGCGCAGTTACATGAAGACTCTCTGCTCACAGCTCTCGGATGCCGATCGGCGAAGCTTCCGTGCCATGCTAGCACGGAATGCAGTTCGGTCCGACGGGTTGACCATAGCGTGGCAATTCAATTGTCGACCCCATGATGCTCTCGCCTCGAGAACAAGACCCAAGGCCAAGCCTCTGAAGCTACTCAAGCCCCTTAGGGTTTAGGGCTTAGGGTTGAGGGTTTAGGGTTTAGGGTTTAATGCTTGCGCAGGAATCTGCCCTGCCTTCTCTGCAGCCCCGCGACGCGCGTACTCCTTTAAGCAGGTTCTCAGTGTTCGGGCTGAGAAACGTGGAGCTTGCAGAGACATACCAGATCAAGCATTTCGGAAGCTCCCCGAAGTTGCCATAGCGGCAACAGTGTTATTCATGGCAATATTTGTTAACGAGTTTGCAAACGGTAGTTAAAGAAGCTTCTTTACTAGACATGGAAGTACAGAGAATGTGGAGGAATGGCGGTACTCGTGGCAGTGAATCAGCAGGATGCAGCAACGGCCGTGTGTCCGCCGGATTTTGCCATGACTTGTGGTGGTCATGGTTGGTCATGTATTGACGTGGTCCACAGTCTGGGAGCACACATGCGATTACGAGGGTGGCAACAAGAACATTGGTAAACAAGAAGAGGATGACGCTTCCCTGGTCTCCCGTTCAAGTCCGGACCTCAGGGAAGCGCTCAGCAAGCAGCGACCCGAAGGCAGCACAGGGGACGAGGTCCTGCTACGTGTTGCAATGGCTCGGTTATTTTAATCTGGTGTTGACGGCTTCAGCGGCTGGCATGACAGACGCGAGACTGAGAACTTGCAGGCGGAGTCTCGCATGTATGTAGCTTCTGCAACTCGGAGCATCAAGACTAGCATGTGGATATCTTAGGGGTGTTACAGGAGTGTCTTGTGAGGCCTCAGCCTGCACTTAACTGGTGCCACGCCTCCTTGGCCGTCGCGTGAAGCAACCTGAAGTGGCGCGGGGTGGCTTTGGGGTTCAGGGTTTCATTCAGGTCAGCGCATTTGTGTGGGTTGTGGCGTCATGGACAGCTAGTTACTTCGAACTGCCTGTTCACGCGCCTCTCAAAATCCGATCACGCACAGCAGAGAACCAGCAGCACCCCCAGAAGAGTCGTAATGAGTCGTGTGGCTTTCGGCAAAGCGGGCAACGCCGGGCACTGGGACCGCGGTGAAGGCAGTCGACCAGGCAGGCGCGGCAGAACCTGGGACGTGTCCGCTCAGCATCCAGGCTGATTGCGTTCTAGGCACACCATGGTACGCACAACCCCCTGTCAAACACTTTCTTGCTGAGGACAGGGCGCATGGGAGCAGGGAAGCACCACTGGCTCATAGATCAGCTCGTGGCACAAAGCGCAAACGAAATCCTTCGAGCTTGGCAACTTAAGGTGAACTGTGGCACCGAGCAGGTGAACCCAAGACCTTCAAATTCTCTCCAGTGCACGCTGAAACTTCGAAACCTCGAGATTTGCAACTTCCAGCAAGCACCTCAGCGCACCTTTCAATTTCATTCTGCGACTGGTCCTCATCCGCGGACATTACGCGTGCAACTCTGTGCACAGGCACAGGTATGCCCCGCTATGCCCCGGCTATGCTCCAATGTCTGAAGCTTCTTGTGTTGCTCTTCCTATTGTTTTCTCGCGACCCATCATGCCCTGAGTCAGGCCCCTCTAGCCCTGCAACTGCTACCACAAGAAACGGACTTTCACATCGCCCCTGGGCAGGATGCCTGTGCTAAGGCGAGCTTGCTGTCATGTTCATAGGCTTTTGTAGGTGGAGTGGTTGTGCTTTCACCCATCTGGCGGGATGTAGACTTGTGAGTCTCCCTTCGGGTTGGCGGTTGACTCTGCTAGCTGCTAGCATCCATGCACTCGAGACCCCTCGGCAACTGAATCAAGAAAGGCAGCTGCATATACAGTCAACGACCCCCACAGGCTTTCCACTCCAAGGAATGGAAGGTGGTTTGGCCGCTTGTTCACGTGGCATCCTTGCTGCGAACACCGAGTTCAGCAGAATTCTCCGCATTCCTTTTTCGAGTCTCTCAGCAGAGCTGCTTCCCTAGTCAGGGATGCCGCTGCTAGCTCTAAGAAGCAATGATCCCCTTAAAAATGGGATACCGGCCCACTTTCACTGGACTGAGCCTGTCTTCATCCTCAAGGGTTGAAGAAGCCGCTGATGTTGGCGAACAAGGATGCAATGCCAAACACAGTGATTCCGATGATGTAGGTATCAGGAGTCATGTCGCCCAGTGCGCCATCAGCGCCACCTCGTGCCTCCATCTGAACTGCTGGGGCGCGGAGGGACTTGCTTGCAGGTGGAGTTGTGCCCACGAAGCAAAGCATCGCAGAGCAGCCAAGGGCCAACACCAAGAAGGCGAGCAGAGAGCTGGAGCGGGCCATTGCAAGTCTTGGGGGTTTTGCCGGACAGGCACAGGAGCAGGAGCGACCTCCAACAACTATAGACAGCTCAACCTGAAAATGGCCGCCGAGTCGTGCATGTCTGCAACTGTTCCGATCACTGCATGACTGCACTGGCCAACACCAAACACAGCATGACGCTGCCGATTCCATTCTCGAGTCTTTCAGCACGCCTGCAGCATAGCTGCTTCCCTAGTCAGGGATGCCGCTGCTAGCTCTAAGAAGCAATGATCCCCTTAAAAATGGGATACCGGCCCACTTTCACTGGACTGAGCCTGTCTTCATCCTCAAGGGTTGAAGAAGCCGCTGATGTTGGCGAACAAGGATGCAATGCCAAACACAGTGATTCCGATGATGTAGGTATCAGGAGTCATGTCGCCCAGTGCGCCATCAGCGCCACCTCGTGCCTCCATCTGAACTGCTGGCGCGCGGAGGGACTTGCTTGCAGGTGGAGTGGTGCCCACGAAGCAAAGCATCGCAGAGCAGCCAAGGGCCAACACCAAGAAGGCGAGCAGAGAGCTGGAGCGGGCCATTGCAAGTCTTGGGGGTTTTGCCGGACAGGCACAGGAGCAGGAGCGACCTCCAACAACTATAGACAGCTCAACCTGAAAATGGCCGCGGAGTCGTGCATGTCTGCAACTGCTCCGATCACTGCATGACTGCACTGGCCAACACCAAACACAGCATGACGCTGCCGATTCCATTTTCGAGTCTTTCAGCACGCCTGCAGCATAGCTGCTTCCCTAGTCAGGGATGCCGCTGCTAGCTCTAAGAAGCAATGATCCCCTTAAAAATGGGATACCGGCCCACTTTCACTGGACTGAGCCTGTCTTCATCCTCAAGGGTTGAAGAAGCCGCTGATGTTGGCGAACAAGGATGCAATGCCAAACACAGTGATTCCGATGATGTAGGTATCAGGAGTCATGTCGCCCAGTGCGCCATCAGCGCCACCTCGTGCCTCCATCTGAACTGCTGGCGCGCGGAGGGACTTGCTTGCAGGTGGAGTTGTGCCCACGAAGCAAAGCATCGCAGAGCAGCCAAGGGCCAACACCAAGAAGGCGAGCAGAGAGCTGGAGCGGGCCATTGCAAGTCTTGGGGGTTTTGCCGGACAGGCACAGGAGCAGGAGCGACCTCCAACAACTATAGACAGCTCAACCTGAAAATGGCCGCGGAGTCGTGCATGTCTGCAACTGTTCCGATCACTGCATGACTGCACTGGCCAACACCAAACACAGCATGACGCTGCCGATTCCATTTTCGAGTCTTTCAGCACGCCTGCAGCATAGCTGCTTCCCTAGTCAGGGATGCCGCTGCTAGCTCTAAGAAGCAATGATCCCCTTAAAAATGGGATACCGGCCCACTTTCACTGGACTGAGCCTGTCTTCATCCTCAAGGGTTGAAGAAGCCGCTGATGTTGGCGAACAAGGATGCAATGCCAAACACAGTGATTCCGATGATGTAGGTATCAGGAGTCATGTCGCCCAGTGCGCCATCAGCGCCACCTCGTGCCTCCATCTGAACTGCTGGCGCGCGGAGGACTTGCTTGCAGGTGGAGTTGTGCCCACGAAGCAAAGCATCGCAGAGCAGCCAAGGGCCAACACCAAGAAGGCGAGCAGAGAGCTGGAGCGGGCCATTGCAAGTCTTGGGGGAAAGCCGGCACAGGCACAGGAGCAGGAGCGACCTCCAACAACTATAGACAGCTCAACCTGAAAATGGCCGCCGAGTCGTGCATGTCTGCAACTGTTCCGATCACTGCATGACTGCACTGGCCAACACCAAACACAGCATGACGCTGCCGATTCCATTTTCGAGTCTTTCAGCACGCCTGCAGCATAGCTGCTTCCCTAGTCAGGGATGCCGCTGCTAGCTCTAAGAAGCAATGATCCCCTTAAAAATGGGATACCGGCCCACTTTCACTGGACTGAGCCTGTCTTCATCCTCAAGGGTTGAAGAAGCCGCTGATGTTGGCGAACAAGGATGCAATGCCAAACACAGTGATTCCGATGATGTAGGTATCAGGAGTCATGTCGCCCAGTGCGCCATCAGCGCCACCTCGTGCCTCCATCTGAACTGCTGGCGCGCGGAGGGACTTGCTTGCAGGTGGAGTTGTGCCCACGAAGCAAAGCATCGCAGAGCAGCCAAGGGCCAACACCAAGAAGGCGAGCAGAGAGCTGGAGCGGGCCATTGCAAGTCTTGGGGGAAAGCCGGCACAGGCACAGGAGCAGGAGCGACCTCCAACAACTATAGACAGCTCAACCTGAAAATGGCCGCGGAGTCGTGCATGTCTGCAACTGTTCCGATCACTGCATGACTGCACTGGCCAACACCAAACACAGCATGACGCTGCCGATTCCATTTTCGAGTCTTTCAGCACGCCTGCAGCATAGCTGCTTCCCTAGTCAGGGATGCCGCTGCTAGCTCTAAGAAGCAATGATCCCCTTAAAAATGGGATACCGGCCCACTTTCACTGGACTGAGCCTGTCTTCATCCTCAAGGGTTGAAGAAGCCGCTGATGTTGGCGAACAAGGATGCAATACCAAACACAGTGATTCCGATGATGTAGGTATCAGGAGTCATGTCGCCCAGTGCGCCATCAGCGCCACCTCGTGCCTCCATCTGAACTGCTGGCGCGCGGAGGGACTTGCTTGCAGGTGGAGTGGTGCCAACGAAGCAAAGCATCGCAGAGCAGCCAAGGGCCAACACCAAGAAGGCGAGCAGAGAGCTGGAGCGGGCCATTGCAAGTCTTGGGGGTTTTGCCGGACAGGCACAGGAGCAGGAGCGACCTCCAACAACTATAGACAGCTCAACCTGAAAATGGCCGCGGAGTCGTGCATGTCTGCAACTGCTCCGATCTCTGCATGACTGCACTGGCCAACACCAAACACAGCATGACGCTGCCGATTCCATTTTCGAGTCTTTCAGCACGCCTGCAGCATAGCTGCTTCCCTAGTCAGGGATGCCGCTGCTAGCTCTAAGAAGCAATGATCCCCTTAAAAATGGGATACCGGCCCACTTTCACTGGACTGAGCCTGTCTTCATCCTCAAGGGTTGAAGAAGCCGCTGATGTTGGCGAACAAGGATGCAATGCCAAACACAGTGATTCCGATGATGTAGGTATCAGGAGTCATGTCGCCCAGTGCGCCATCAGCGCCACCTCGTGCCTCCATCTGAACTGCTGGCGCGCGGAGGGACTTGCTTGCAGGTGGAGTTGTGCCCACGAAGCAAAGCATCGCAGAGCAGCCAAGGGCCAACACCAAGAAGGCGAGCAGAGAGCTGGAGCGGGCCATTGCAAGTCTTGGGGGAAAGCCGGCACAGGCACAGGAGCAGGAGCGACCTCCAACAACTATAGACAGCTCAACCTGAAAATGGCCGCGGAGTCGTGCATGTCTGCAACTGCTGCAAACACTGTGTAACTGCATAACCAGCAGGATAGCTCAAGTCCTTTCTCCCTGCTGCGAGCATGAGCACATTGCAGAGAGGCTGCGGAAGGTAACGCATCGCAGCCCCAATGCAAGGCGCCCTCATGAGCTGCGTCCGCAGATGGCTTGGCCAGAAATGGATGCGCAGACAGCCACGTGTTATGGCAATACAATAATATGCATACAGAGTCGCCAAACATCTGGAATGAAGCCAGTCAGACAGTCAAGCCGGTCTTCCCATGAACTCCCCGAATCGGCACCTTCCATTTTGAAGAGCCACTTGAGATTTCCTTCCAGCTGCAGGCACTGCCTATGTCACTAGGGAACCTCCACCTGAGGCTCTGAAAACCAGCTAACTCTCAGAGGGGCGTGTCGTCACACGCGCGATGCCTCATGCACCGCAGAAAGATCTCCCAAGCTTCATCGCCTCTCAAAACCTCGGAACCCTCGCGGGTTTTTGCGAATCCTCTCCAAAACCTTGGAGCCATGCTACACACTTAGCCCCAAAGCATAGGCTTGACATAGCTAGACAGTCTTTTCTGCGTCCAGAAATTGCTGCAATCTCCCGAACGTTGGCCATCAGACTTGGTAACGTGCAACCGGCTGCCTAAACCCTGGCGCCCACCTCGGAGCTAATCCCGGAGGCAGGTGAAGCATTCGCCAGGGGAGAGGCGATGGATTGAACCTGGGCTTGGGGATTCGGAGGAGCAAGGTTTTAGATTCGGAGAGACTTCAAGTTTGGGGATTCTTAAAAATTCGGATTTGCTGCAGAATTAATGTTCCACGGTGAAGGAGGCTTCTGAGGCCTGCTTCGCTAGATGGGCTCCGGCTTTATCTCAAGTGTCTGGGGTGAAGAGGCGATTGGGTTTTATAAGGCTTCAGGGCTCAAGGCTAGGTAGTGAGGGGCTCCAAGGCGGCCCGGTGCACTCGGGCTCCATCGCGCAGCCAAGAGTCACAGTCGGAGGAAGGCTTTGGTTTATGATGACGATGATGATGATGATGATGATGATTAATTTCTGGCTTTGAAAGAAACATGTAGGGTTTGAGACCCCGGCGTTCTCCCGACGCAAGACAGTTTCAGGGCAATGTTGTCTAAGGTAGGGGTAAGGGCACCACCACTTGCAAACCCCTTCAAACGCATGACAAAACAATCCTTGGAATGCATGGCGAGATGCGTTCCACGGCGGAGAGGGTGGCGCTGGGACCAGCAGCGAGGGCGCGGGAGCCTGTCGGATCGGCTCGGTGCTGTGGGTGTGGTGCATGCCAGGCTTCCCTCGGAGTGCGGAACAGCCGCGGCTCCAGATCCAGGGGCTTAGAACTCAGATGAACTCAGGACCTTCCGAATCCCTGAAATGCTCTCAACCCGGCCCAGGAAACCAAGACAGGCACCGGGCCTCGGCTTTGGTCCAATGGGTTTCACCGGCTGCCTCTTCCGGCGGAGAGAGCTTTGGGGACAATGTTGGTCTCAGAAGCTTTTGCAGAAATTGTGCACAAATTCCATTGGCTTGTGCTGCCTCTGAGAGGACGGAACTTTGTGGGACCCTTATACTGGCCTTTTGGCCTTACTCTTGCGCACTCTGACATGAAAAATGAATTCCCACAGTTTTCCCCCTGTGCAACAGTGCGTACCGCCACTGAAACTTTGGGAACTAAACGGTGCAAGCGGCAGGCCACAACAAGCCCCTGTCACACCGTGGCCCTCAAGAGTCAGCATCTGCCCTGCAAGAACTGACATGCAGGTGCTGGAGTTGTGCTTCTTTACCTGTCAGAAGCATCCATGGTCTAGGGCTCTGACTGGTGGTCAGCGACGTGAGGGGGATGTGACAATAATGAACCATAGTTCTTGCCCGCCCCAACACGCCCCCTCCCCCAAGCCCTCCCCACCTCAGCACGCCTCGCTCGTTCTTCGAGCGTTTGGCGCCTCCCAAGATTGCGCAGTACAATTTTGAAGCCGGCTGCATTTATCTGCACGGGTTGAGTTCAGAAGTAACCTAGCTGAGCCTTTGATACACAACGCGACCACAAACCTGGTGAGAGAAAGCGGGGCAGGTTGGAGCTTCAACCTTAAGATGGTTCGAGAAAAGCTGTTCACAACCCGAATGCCACACCTTAATCCCATGCCTCATCAACGACATCGACAGTACAACCTGCAACATCCCACTCCGTTGCAAAGAAACGGCCAAGGCAGACTTCGCGTCGTGAAACGACAAAGAAGAACATGCAAGATTTCAGCTGACTTATGTACGATACAGGCTGCGTCAAGACTATAAAAAGGATCACCTTTCACACGGCATGCCAGAATGTAACATCTCAATCAATAATCTTGACATGTTCCTCAAAGTAGATCTACCGCCACACAGCCTGGCTACTTGGCTGAAGTACTTTATCCTGAGCACACACACACAGAGGGCTACGGCTCTGTATACTCCAGAGTGGTCATTACTACGACGACGACTACCACGACTGCGGGCCGTGTTCGAAGACCTGCTCTCTTGACTACCAGTACTACGCGCACGATGACGACAACCATGACCAATGCTCGACGTTACACTGCGCTACACATTCTCTCGACTATCCCCCATATACTCTCAATGCTCTCTCAGACCACATTCTGCGAGCTATCAGCCCCCAAGGTTGCCGGCTCCGGGCTTCCCGGCCGCATCTCTGCATAACGCTTCGGGCCGCGGCTGGGCCGCTGAGTGCTCACCGAGGAGCCTTTTCTCACAAGACAGGGTTGGATGGGTTTACGGTTTAGTTTCGGGGGAGGTTAAGCTCCTTGAAAACCTGACTTACAAGTTGCAGCCTTACAGCAGTCGGGCAAAGTTTTGGAGGGCTCACTCGAGTGACTCAGTTAAGACTGTGGTATGGTTTTGCCCGGCATGCCTTTGTGTTTGGCCCGATCACCCCACGTTCCTGAGGTTGCGCTGCACTTCGGATCGCTTCATTCAGAAATACCTGCCTTGGGACTCGGAGCGCACGCTGGACCCGGCGGGCTCTTTCGGCTGCAGGTCGGCCTGGGCTCAGGATCGTTCAGTGAGGATCGACACTGCCCCGCCCTCCGCCCCCAGCGCCCAGCCGGTGGCAGGTGTGGGCACTCTGGGGTTTCGGCCCCTACCCTAAATCCTGAAGCCCAAAACTTCCTAACCCTGAAACCCGGACATTCCGCACGCCCTTTTCAGGTGCCGGAGGCGCCTGTGCGCGAGGAGTTTCTCTTTGAACTCCTTGCGTCGCCCGGGCTGTGACATCGGACCTCAGCTCACGGCCCGAAGTGGCGCAACACAGATGATAATACGATGCTCTCTAGGTGAGGTGGCCCATCAGGGACCCGAAAAAAAGGGACCAGGATTTTGAGCTAAATTGAGCATACAGCTTCGCCAAAGCTGCCGATGCTCAGGCTGCAACCATGGATCTGGGAGTGCGGAAGGTTTCAACCCAAGCGTGGGCGGTGCCTCCTGTCGTCCACAGCAAAAAAGAATAAAACAATTAAAACATGTGTGCATGTGTGTATATATATATATATGGTCAACCCCCCCCCCTGGTTGATGCAGAAATCAGGGGTGAAGTCAACAAGGCCAGCAGGTGAAGTTCATGAATCTTCGGCCGGTCGGCCGGATCTAGCGGTACAGGAAGGCTCGGAACCAAAGCAATTAAAGCTGTCGCAGGAAAAGTGCCTGCCTGTGGCTGCGACTGCTTTGAGGTCTCGTACTTCAAGGCCTGCCGAAACCCAACTGTAGACTCTGTTACTGTGGCCGGCTAGGTGCTCATGGCCGCCATACTCTGCACAGCCGAAACTACGTCACGTGCTGCACGAATTAGGGGTGCGGATGGGTGCGGGGGGGTGGCAGGGGGGTTGTGTTGCATTAAGGTGCACCATGTCCCATGGGTTCACTTTGACGACAGGCCCTGCGCGAGTTGCTGACCTGCGATTAAAACACAAATAACAACAGACAGTCACAGCTTCTGAAGAACTCAGGGAAAGATGCCCCCCGGGACATGCATGCCAACAGTCACCCACCTCCTCAATGAGTCCCTAAGCTCCTTTAAGCCCTGAACCCAAACCCTACACCCTAAACCTGAGCCCTAATCTCCCCTTTGCATGACCAAGGCCACATTGAACTCTCGACTCTTAGCCTGCTCCAGGAGCTGCGCCAAGGAGCCGCGCGAGGCAGCAAAGTCTGCCTCATGGACCAGAGTTTAGGGTTTCGGGTTCAGGGTTCAGGGTTCAGAGTTTAGGGTTTCGGGTTCGGGTTTAGGGTTCAGGGTTGGTTCTTCAGGCTTCAGGGTTCAGAGTTTAGGGTTTCGGGTTCGGGTTTAGGGTTTCGGTTCAGGGTTCAGGGTTCAGGGCTCAGGGCTCAGGGCTCAGGGACCAGGGTTCAGGGTTCAGGGTTTAGGGTAGTCCGGTCAGAGTTGAGGAGACTTTGGGGTCCATAGGGTTCTGGGTTTGGGGTTTGAGGGCTTCAGGGGCTATTTCTTTGGATTTGTGGGTCCTTGCGGCATATGGCAGTCTTTGAGAGGCTCGGCTGCTACTCAGGCTCCACGTGTTCAACTCGGATCCTTCGGACCTGCTACCTGTTCCAGAAGGGGCACGACCCAGAAAAACTTTGACCCGCCTGGATTCGCTCAGCATCGGCAGCCTCACGGTTGGGAGCCTCGGAAGAAGAGCCTGCAGAAGTCTTATGTTCCTTGTTGGAGGGTCGTCTGTGGAAGAGCTTCAAGGTCCTGGAAACTTGGCCCACGGTCGAGGCTTCGAGGGTTAAGGTTTGGGCTTTAGGGTTCTTTGGGCTTCGGTTCAGCTTTGGTGGGGATCCTGCTCCCCTGCCACTCATCGCCTGAGTCGCTCGGCTTGCCGCGAGACTCCGACGTCTCTGGAATCGGGAGACCCCTGCGGAATCACACACTACGAACATCGAAGGTTGGGGTCTATAGGAGTCTAGGGCTCAGGGTTTTGGAGGTCGTGTCAGGGCAACCGTTCTGCTGGCACTGGCGATGGAGCAAGACTGCTAGGCCACTCTCTCCAAGCTGCGCATCTTCTTACGAGAATGGCCTGGCACTGTCTAGCTTGGTCTTCAGCAGCTGCTCCCGAGTGCCCTGGCAAAGGACCAAAAGACTTCAGACAGAAGACTGGGTTGCTAGGTGGTTGGGGGGTTTGGAGGAGTTTCAAGAGTGTTAACGATGTTCCAAGTGTTGCACAGGATGTGGCCTGAAGCAATGGATGGAAACGGACGGTTAACCGTTTTTCAGACACCGGAATCTTGCGACGATGCTGAAGCGACCGTTTTGCGTCTCGGTTTCCTCTCGATGCAGCTGCACGCTTTGCGTGTCCCTGATGAATTGTCCCCGCACGTGAGTGACAAGTGAGAGTGCATCCAACATCGGGATTCGGGGTTCAAAATCACAGCGCCTCTCGGATCATGGGATCGACTGCAGCCAGTGCCAGGGAGCACACCCTTTGGCACTCACCCCGGTCCCCTTCAAGACCCAGCTGTAAAAATCTCGGGATGGACGCACCCTTTGCAAAGTCCGCGGCAGCAAAGTTGCGGCAGTTTCGAAGCTCCAGGTTGGCGCCAGCTGCGATGAGGGCTGCAGCACCCTGGTACTGAGCCGTTCGCAATGCATGCATCAGCGGTGTGCTGCCATGATCATGGTAGATGTTCGTTGTTAGGGCGGTGACCTGGCCAAGGCGGTGCTGAAGGGATTTCACCAAGTAGAGCATCCGACCCAGAGGCTTCAAGTCGCCGCCGGGAGATTGAACTGGAAGTCCACGTCGGCTCTTAGGGCAATGAGTCCCTGGACCAGCTCCGCCCGGGCGCCACCCCGCACAGACATGGCGTTGTGGAGGGCTGCGGAGACTTCCACTCGGCTTACCTGTGCCTGTGCTTCCAGGCTCTTCCACTGCTTCCAAGGCACCCAGGGAAGCTGCACTGCCCAAGGCACTGAAGCCAAGTCCCTGCATGACGGATTCCCGCCAAGCACAGCATGCGGAGAGCCGTGTTGCCCCCTGCAGCAGCGGGCAGAATGGCAGAACCCAGTCCGCCCTCGATGCTGGCCCTCGCCTCGATGAGCAGCTGGGCTGCTTCCAGGTTGCTTGCATGCCGGTGGAAGACTGCGATGTCTAAGGCCGAGTTCCAGGGTGGAATGCCCGATGTCGGCTCTCATCCTTGGAAGTTCTCTGATTCACAGCTGCTCGCTGCAGCAGAAGGCCTTTTATTACCTGCGTATTGCCGGAGAGTGCGGCATAGCGCAACGGCCACCAGCCAGCACTGTCAGATCTGTTGACCTTGCTGAGGCCGTTCTGGTGTAGAAACTCCGATAACGCGTCCCGGCCATCAGTTGATTCGGCATCCGAATCCGAGTGGGGGAGGACGCCTTGCAGGAGATCGATCTTCAGCCCTGATAGGTTAATGTGCTGCAAGTTCAAGTAGCGCCGGAAGCCGGGAAAGTCCTCTGTCCGCAGGCAATGCATCATCTTTTGCATCACGATGTTTCGCATGACTGGGGCCAACCTTTGGCGGTCCTCTTCCTTTGTGAATTCGCCTTCTCCTACCGATCCTCTGGGGAACGATAACACAGTGCCCACGAGTTCAAAGCTGGTGCTGCTCTTAATCAGCACCCAGGTGTGGTCTGCCGACATTTCTCGCGCCGGTCTTTCCAATCTGCACCACCCACGCCTATACTGAACTTGGGAACCCTAGCAGAGATTACAATTTTTGCTGTGTCTTACGAATTAAAGTGCCGAAAATGTAAAAACCATTCCAAAGTATCCCTTAGACGCCTCGACCATGTAAATGTGGTGAGTACCTTGCCGTCCGCAGGGCAATCCAGCACTGGACACAGTGCCAGGAAGAAGCGACACTTACTTGGCCACATAGGCTGGGATGCTTTGAATGGCGTAGCCCTGATTGCTCCCATCGCTTGTGTCAGTTATGTTAGCAGTGTGAACATTGCGCGCCTCCAACTGAGGAACTGAGAAATAGTCATACCAGATGAACAAGGAACAGGTCTGAAATTCATGCATTGGCAGTGGTTCTGCAGCGGGCGTGAAGATTTCGGTGAGCTGGTCTTTCGGCACAGGCCCGCCGCTGCTCAAAAATTTGCGCAAGGCATCCTGCAAAACACTCATCTGCCGGAAGTCAGGGTCTGGGTGGCCTTGGGAAACCCATTGATGCGAGACAAACGCTGCCTTCTCTGCAATGCTGCTTCCGTCGAAAACGCTGAGCTGGCCTTGGGCCTGACAGGTGGGACAGGCAAAGATGAGATCTGGCCGATTGCGGCTCGAACTCGGGAACGGGAACTCGGGAAACATCCGGCCTTGAGGTGTTCGTGCGGACGCACCCGTGTCATCTGGAGCACAACGTCTACAGCAACGGTGTACATCGGGAAAAGCATCGTCGCCTGAGCTGATCACGGGGCTGCCGGAGCTTCCGGCCAAAGCCCAAACCTCTTCTATCCCTAACACAACCCGAAATCCTGATCCCGAAGCGCAGGACCTTGCCGCGCTAAGGTGCATTCTTGGGCGTCGACCCTCTTGTAGGCGGCGGTTCGGGGTTCTGGGGCTCAGGGCCTGGCAGGCAAATGTAAGCCAAGAGACGCCTGTGCCCTCAGGCAGAGATCTCGCATGGCGCTCCAATGGTGTCGGGCCAGACTGCGCTCCGCAGCACGACATGAGCCGGCGGCGCCCCAACCTGGAGCCTCTGCACCCCGGCGCTCTAACCCTGGGAACTGGACTGGCAAGCCGATGTGGAAGCTGAGGCGCATGCATCGGTGGAATACTTCACTCGCAAGTACGAAATTCACGCTGTGCTTCAGATCCTTCAAACCATCAAATGCCAAGCCGGAGCGCAAAACTCAAGGTTCCTTGAGCTGCCGTCGAACCCAGGAACCTCCATCGTGCCTCTGGTTCTTCTAGCAAGCCAAACCCCAAAACTCCAGAACATGAAGTCCAAGCCACTCAATGCTTACGTGAGAGCCTTTTCACGACGGAAAGCCATGGTGTAAGGTGTAGAGGCATGCCTTCAACAGACTTGGCCGACACAAGGCTAGTTGCAGCGCGTAGATTGATCAGAAATATCGTCACACCCAAGTGCCGAAGCATAAGGGGGCCATGTGCACCTGAAGCACCAAGCCCTGCAGGCGAATCCATAGAAGGTGCCTTGGAAGTCTTCCGTCGCACTTTCGCCGCACCCTCCACGGGCTTCGTGGTGCTCTCGGCTCGTTGGCAGAGGGCCTCCGCATGGGCCATGGGCCATGGAGGCTTTGGGCCTTCAACCGTGTGTAGTGTAAGTGTGTGCAAGTTTAAGCAAGTATGTGTGTGCATGTGTGTGTGTGTGTGCATGTGTGCATGTGTGCATGTGTGCATGTGTGCATGTGTGCATGTGTGCATGTGTGCATGTGTGCCATGTGTGCCATGTGTGCCATGTGTGCATGTGTGCATGTGTGCATGTGTGCATGTGTGCATGTGTGCATGTGTGTGTCTGTGTGTCTGTGTGTCTGTCTGTCTGCGTGTCTGCGTGTCCGCGTGTCTGCGTGTCCGCGTGTCTGGGTGTCTGTCTGTCGGCGTGTCTGCGTGTCTGTCTGTCTGCGTGTCTGCGTGTCCGCGTGTCTGCGTGTCCGCGTGTCCGCGTGTCTGCGTGTCTGCGTGTCTGCGTGTCTGCGTGTCTGCGTGTCTGCGTGTCTGCGTGTCCGTGTGTCTGCGTGTCTGCGTGTCTGCGTGTCTGCGTGTCTGCGTGTCTGCGTGTCTATATGTGTCTGTGTCTGTGTCTGTGTCTGTCTCTGTGTCTGTGTCTGTGTCTGTGTCTGTGTCTGTGTCTGTGTCTGTGTCTGTGTCTGTGTCTGTGTCTGTGTCTGTGTCTGTGTCTGTGTCTGTGTCTGTGTCTGTGTCTGTGTCTGTGTCTGTGTCTGTGTGTCTGTGTCTGTGTCTGTGTCTGTGTCTGTGTGTCTGTGTCTGTGTGTCTGTGTCTGTGTGTCTGTGTCTGTGTGTCTGTGTGTCTGTGTCTGTGTGTCTGTGTGTCTGTGTGTCTGTGTGTCTGTGTGTCTGTGTGTCTGTGTGTCTGTGTGTCTGTGTGTCTGTGTGTCTGTGTCTGTGTCTGTGTCTGTGTGTCTGTGTGTCTGTGTGTCTGTGTGTCTGTGTGTTCTGTGCTTGTGTGTCTGTGTGTCTGTGTCTCTGTGTCTCTGTGTCTCTGTGTCTCTGTGTCTCTGTGTCTCTGTGTCTCTGTGTCTCTGTGTCTCTGTGTCTCTGTGTCTCTGTGTCTCTGTGTCTCTGTGTCTCTGTGTCTCTGTGTCTCTGTGTGTCTGTGTCTCTGTGTGTCTCTGTGTCTCTGTGTCTCTGTGTCTCTGTGTCTCTGTGTCTCTGTGTCTCTGTGTCTCTGTGTCTCTGTGTCTCTGTGTCTCTGTGTCTCTGTGTCTCTGTGTCTGTGTCTCTGTGTCTCTGTGTCTCTGTGTGTCTGTGTCTGTGTGTCTGTGTGTCTGTGTGTCTGTGTGTCTGTGTGTCTGTGTGTCTGTGTGTCTGTGTGTCTGTCTGTGTGTCTGTGTGTCTGTGTGTCTGTGTGTCTGTGTGTCTGTGTGTCTGTGTGTCTGTGTGTCTGTGTGTCTGTGTGTCTGTGTCTGTGTGTCTGTGTGTCTGTGTGTCTGTGTGTCTGTGTGTCTGTGTGTCTGTGTGTCTGTGTGTCTGTCTGTGTGTCTGTGTGTCTGTGTGTCTGTGTGTCTGTGTGTCTGTGTGTGTCTGTGTGTGTTGTTTGTGTGTCGGTGTGTTTGTGTGTTGTCTGTGTGTGTGTGTCTGTGTGTCTGTGTCTGTGTCTGTGTCGTGTCTGGTCTGTGTGTGTGTGTGTGTGTGTGTGTGTGTGTGTGTGTGTGTGTGTGTGTGTGTGTGTTTGTGTGTGTGTGTGGTGTGTGTGTGTGTGTGTGTTTGTGTTGTGTGTGTGTTGTGTGTTTGTGTGTGTGTGTGTGTGGTGTGTGTGTGTGTGTGTGTGTGTGTGCTGTGTGTGTGTGTGTGTGTGTGTGTGTGTGTGTGTGTGTGTGTGTGTGTGTGTGTGTGTGTGTGTGTGTGTGTGTGTGTGTGTGTGTGTGTGTGTGTGTGTGTGTGTGTGTGTGTGTGTGTGTGTGTGTGTGTGTGTGTGTGTGTGTGTGTGTGTGTGTGTGTGTGTGTGTGTGTGTGTTTGTGTGTGTGTTTGTGTGTGTGTGTGTGTGTGTGTGTTTGTGTGTGTGTGTGTGTGTGTGTGTGTGTGTGTGTTTGTGTGTGTTTGTTGTGTGTGTTGTGTGTGTTGTGTGTGTTTGTGTGTGTGTGTGTGCGCGGGTGTGTGTGTGTGTATGTGTAAGTCTAGGCGCATGTGTGTGTGTGTGTAAGTGTAAGCACATGTGTGTGTGTGGGTGCGTGTGTGTGTGTGTGTGGGCGCGTGCGCGTGCGTGTGCGTACGCGTGCGCGTGTGCGTGGCACGATATCAGACGGAGACGTTGAGACCTCATGGATCAGGGCTCAAGGGACCATGAGAAATGCTTTGTCAATCGCCCTAGATTTCGCAGAGACTGATCCGGCCTCCGTGGCCGCCAGCAGCTCCTCGAACCGTGCCTCACAGTGAGAAGGGACCCCAATGGCCCACCCAAGCCCCAATCTGTCCCAATAAATGACTTCATCCGAAGCTTCAGGAAGCATTTTCGAAGCATCCCGAGGGACTTCCTCCTCTTCAATGCCAAGTGTGAACCAAGAATGCCAGAGCGCCTCTGTGGCATCGCTGAAGCGCTGCAACTCTACCTGCACGTCGCGCCTGGGCGCGTTCATTCTTGCTGCGCCATTGTCACTTCCGAATCCGGATCGCCAGCAATCCACAAACACCTAAACCCGAGACTCCTCAAAACTCCTCACCTACCCCCGCCCCTTCCCACAGAAAAAAAGCAGCCCTACCATAACCCTCAACCCCAAAGTGTAGGGGCCACAGCACGTCGACCCAAACTGCATCTGGTACCCATCCAAACCAAGGCCCCTAAAACCCTGAACTTCTTGGTTCAGGCTACTACCTTCTTAGCTAATGGCAGTCGCTCTCTTTTTCATCAGGTGTTGCTCCGGATCGTGAAGGGTGCATTGCTGTACTAAGATGCAATAGCTACACAGAACGGTAAGCCCCCGTGAAACTTTGGCCCGTTTTTGCGGACACTGGACTGCGGTCCTGTGCTGTGAAACCTGGGCCCAACTGTGCTTTTGCTGGACTGCGGCCCCGGCCTTTGCGCGCCGATCTCTCACTAGAATTGTGCCTGCAGCTACAGGGTGGGCAGGGTGGGTGCTTTTGCGAAGATCACGGGCATTCGGAGCCCTGCGGTGATATGACTTGCAACGCCAAGACAACGCAGTAGCAAAACATGCGTGTATAAAGAAAAGAAAAAGATCACACGCAACGTTCAGGCTACTACCTTCTTAGCTAATGCGAGCTCCCATGCAGTCGCTCTCTTTTTCATCAGGTGTTGCTCCGGATCGTGAAGGGTGCATTGCTGTACTAAGACGCAATAGCTACACAGAACGGTAAGCCCCCTCTTTAGCCCGGAGCAACTCCTGATTGTGTGCCACTCAGACCCCCACCGCGCTCAGGAGGTGCTGCGACCTTGGTATTACTAGGAGGGTGCAATGTCTCTGGTGCAGTCCGCGCTACCGTCGGACACGGATACTGGCTGCAGCATCATGCTCCCCCCTTTCCTTTTTTTTGCCAGAGCGCTGCGTCGCAGTGTTACCTCACGCGGAGGCTGCCAATAATGCGTCGGCCCAGAATGCGTCTGGTGGATGCAGGCGGATGCAGTAGCATCGCATGGTTAGGGAAATGCGGACTCGCTCGTGCTGGCGGTGTGCGAATCTGCCTTGGCGGTCGCGGCTGAGCTCATCTGCCCAAACATTTTTTCTCGCCTGCCAGGTGCGAGACCGCCAGCTGAACTGCGTGCTTGTGAGCCCAGTCTGCTACAAGTTTTAAAAACGTTGCCAGGGGCTCTGTAGTGCTGAATAGCTTATTGATGCCGCTCTCTGCGGCTGTGTTGTCACTTGCAGTAGGCAAGATGAAGGTCATGCATGTGGAGCGGAGCCGTAGCCACGCAGTCTGCAGCAGGGCAAGCTGCGCTAGGACCTCAAAGCAGGCTATGTACGGCTGTGCAGTGTCGGTTAGCATGGGCCATGTTGCGCGCACTTCTTCCATGGTCCAGGACTCGCTGAACCATGCAAAACCCTTGCTGGTGCAGATCCAGCCCCCTATCCCGACTTGGTTGCCTTCTGCCACGGCGTCTGCGGCGCTGAGGCACTGCAGTAGCTGGGGCTGATGCAGGGGCATGGTGTTGCTATGCTCAAAGAGCTGTTCTAACCAGAGCAGTGCTTCCTTGCTCTGCTTGCGCAGGTGCACCTCGTTGCGGTTAGGATCTGCGAGTCGAACCCAAGTGCGTTGGCTGCTCTTAGGCACTCGCGGCACGTCTGCTTTAGACTTTACGCTTAAATTGCCAACTTCTAGCAGTTGTGCGTTGTGGGGCAGCCACATACCTGCTGGTTTTTTCACTCTTGCGTACTCATCCAGTGCCTGGTAGAAGTGTTGCCATTGCATGGCGGGGATGCTGTGCAGTGTGCCCTTTCCGCTACGCAGGTCGCTATATAGCGGTGCAAGGAATGGGCGCAGGCGCGGGGACATTGTGGTCGCCCAGACAAGGAGGCCCAAGCAGGCTTCGAGAGCTTTGCGGTGCACTTTAGAAGCGCATCTCAAGGTTGCTAGTTGTTCCAGCAGTTTTGCAATCTTGGATTGCACGAGTTGCAGTGTGTCGGTTGCAAGGTCAAAGGTCCAGCCACACCACGTGATTCTGGGACCCAATTGCGTTTTGCGCCAGCTAATTGGTGCGTTTATTGCAGCGAAAAGGCAGATCGTCAGGCAAGCCAACTCGGCGCTGTGTCATCCACGTAGAGGAAGCTGCGGTGCCGTCTGTGGCTGAGCAGGCGGTGCAGTGTGCGGGGGATGACAGAGCCTAGTCTTTGCCACCAGTAGCTGCTGAATTTTGCGCCGAAATGACACACCTTGTAGTAATACAATTTGCCCTGGTGCCGGAAGAGCAGTGTGCCTCTTTCGTCGTTGCGTACAACGCATGCTTTGTGCGCTGCCTTGAAGTCCAGTGAGAGGCCGCGCCAGTACCCTGGTGGGTCGCGGTGCGTGTAGGTGAGTTGGCATTTGCACGCGTTCGGGCAGGTGGCATCGCGGGTTTAAGTTGCAAATGGTGCTGTCTAGGACCATGCGCGGGTCGCGGCCCTGGGCAAGAACCACGTTAAGCTTGCCAATTGCGGCGCCTTTCGGCCAGTGCAGTTTTGCGTCTGCCTCTGTGCCGTCGAAGCAGGCAATATAGCCGTCTTGCAGTTCTTTGTCGATGAGTTCTTGCAGGACTGCTGGGTTTCTTTCTGCTTGAGTCCAGTTGCCTGCGCAGTGTTGCAGGTGGAGCGGGTCGGACTCTTGCGGGTCCTGCAGGCTGTTCGGGATCCATTGCTTGCTAGGCGGCAGCTGTGCGAAGGCACCTGTTGGGACCCCTTCAAGCAAGATGGGTGTGAGATCGATGTCTGGGTCATCGATATGCTGAGCAATGGCTTGCAGTAGCAGGCGGAAAGGTTGGTCCTCGCGGATGCTGAGGCAATTGGTGTCGGTGCACCCAGGGTGCACCACTGCATGTGCGAGGCAGGCAAGGTCAAGCTGTTGCTTTTCAGATAGCGGATGCGAGTTATGTGCTTGCGACAGGTGCGAGGCCAGTTGCTGCATGAGATTATTATCTTGCACATAGGACATGAAGGCTGCGCGCAGAGAGTCTAGGCGCCTGTCATGTTGCGGTATTGAGTGGTCTGCGGTGCTGTTTTGCCCGGACCCGTCGCAGACTAGGATGCGGGGTTGCATAGGCATAGCTGAGGGCAGTAGAGAAAGGGCTTGCTGTATGCTTATGCTCTGGAGGCCGGTTGATGTAAGGCAAGGCTGCGCTATCTTCATTAATGCGGAGGCCAGAGAATGCGGATATTTAGCGCTTCGCGAGCTGATGAAAGCTCCCGATGCGTCGCGCTTGTTGCGCAAGCACTGGTGTGTGCCTGGCGCATGCGTGCATACTGCTGCAAGAGATGCCACTTCTCGTCTGGCGCAGCATACTACCCAGGTTACCCAGGCCTAGGTTGTGTGCGCAGGCAGCGACATGTGCGCAGGTGGCGTTTAGCTCGCGGAGCAGTTGGATGTTGTCTGGCACCAGCCATGATATGGCGTCGACTGGTTGTTCGAATCCGCCATCCGCTCCTTTTGCGGTGGCGGCGCGAATGAGAGCGCGGCTGCGCGCGTGAATTTCTGCGCTGTTGTCGACGCGTTGCTGTTCTTGCTGGGACAGTCCTGGCACGCCCTCCATGTGCTCCGGCGTTCGCAGTGGCTTTGGCCCAGGCTGTCGCAATTTCAGTCTGGAGTACTCGGAGCACGGCGGCGCAGACCAGATGAAGCATACAAGCCCTGACCAGCATAGGCGTTGCAGTATGGTGAAGAAGGTCATTGAGCACGTCGTGCTGTGGATTGCTTGCTGCATCAATGGGCTCGATGCAGTCGAGGTGCAGTTCTTTGGCTGCTGCAGACAGGGGGCTAGCTTTCCTGCGAAGAGGTCTAGGAAGAGGCGGGGCATTGTGGGCTGAGGCTCTGGCGGTGAAGTATCTGAGTCTGATGCTGAAGACTCGGAGTAGTAACTCGCTTGCGATCCTGAATCATCGCTAGAGATTGACTCAGGGGCAGGGGCAGGCGGCGCGGCAGGGCGTTGGTGAATGCGCTGCGTCGCGGGCTGTGTTTCTGCAGGCGGGATGGAGGGCGTGCAGTTGGGTGGCTCAGCTGCCTGTTGGAGTGCAGGAACGTGAGCCGGGCATGGGCTTGCGTCCGGAGGGGTCTCCCCGGCCGAGGCCCCCGGACTGTGTCAAGTGGTGGGTGGCGGCGGTGCGTCGCGGTGTTGCCAGGCCGCATGCTTTCGGCCGCAGGGCTCACCGTTGCCTAGCTTTACGCCGCACACGTGCAGGAACTTGCAGTTGGGGTTGTTGCAGTTGCCTTTGTTGAAGCGCAGGCAGATCTTTTTGTCGCCCTTAGTTGTGGCCAAGTCCTGCGCGCTTTGGCCCGAATGTGGCTGTTTAAGAGCGTCATTGCGGATGCCCTTGGCGGTTTTGCCTTTGCCTTTGCCTTTGCCTTTGTCTTCCTTGCCTTTGCCTTTGCCTTTAGGGGGCTTAAGGGGTCTGGGCCGGGGTTGCAGTAGGGTGCGCAGATCGCTGCGAATATGCGTAAGTTCGTGCAGGGAATCATCCAAAGACCAGCCCCGGGCGCACATGGATGAGAGTTCGCTCCATATCTTGCGGTCTGCTTGCAGTAGTTCTGTCATGTTGACAGTGCGCAGACCGAGATCTTGCGGGATGTTTGCAGTTGCATATTCCAATACCTTTGCGTCAAGCTCTTTCAAGGCTGCCAGATGCGCTCCTCCGCAAAGTGCAATGGCGTTGCGGAACACTTGCTGGATTTTGCTCAGCCAGGGTTGGGGTCAATGCTGAGCTCGGGCGTGTCATCGATTAGGGCAGCGCTGATGAGCTGTGCTTCTGTGCGGAGGGTTTTGCCCGTGCGGGCAACCAGGAATTCCTGGTATTGCTTTTCTGATAAGCGCAGTTGCCATGGGACCCATTGCGGGTGATTGCCTGGGCGGAACCATTGGTAAATTATGCTGAGCAGTCTAATGCTTGGCATAGAGTTGCCGTCGAGTATCTCGCCTGAGTAAT